CTTGGCGGGGGGGGAAGGTTGGTTTGACAGGTCGCAGGTGAACACCCCCTTCGCTCGGGCAAGCGCGCTGCAACCGTCGCCTCGGGCGGCTGGAACCCCACCAGTCCCAAACTGGTGTGCCTACGAGCAGGCTGGTTTGCATTCTTCGCCAATTTTGGGGGGCCTGACGCTCATTGTCGTTAAGCCCCTGTTACAACATCGCCCGGAGCTCTGAGAGAGCCTGGAGATGGGCGCAGCTGTAATTAGCACCTACGTAAAAGCACCTTGGCGCTGCCGGCGCGGTGCAATGGGCTGTAGGGTGACAGAATCGGACCCTCACAGACCTTCTGCATGGGACAGCGAGTTCTCGTTGTTGAAGTTTCCCCTCAATTTTAATCCTCTTGGACTCTTGGGGGTTGGACTAGATGACGGTCTCCAGAGGTGCCTTCCAACCCTGACCATTCGGTGATTCTGTGACCACGTCTCGCGGCATTGAGTTCCACCAGCGCCACCGGAGGTGCTCGGGGAGAGGTGGGCACGTGCCCGTGTCAGCACATGTCCCCTCTCGTATTATTGATGAGCGTCGATCTCATCAACGCCGAGCGGTAGCGAAAGGGTGGGTGGCGAGAGGACGGGGCCGGGCTCTTTCCAGCGGTGCCCAGCGACAGGACGAGGGGCGACGGGCACAAACTGGGACGCGGGAGGGTCCGTCTGAACACGGGGAGGAACATCTTTCCCGTGAGGGTGGCGGAGCACTGGCACAGGCTGCCCAGAGAGGCGGTGGAGTCTCCTTCTCCGGAGAGATTCAAACCCCGCCTGGACGCCGTCCTGTGCGACTGCTCTGGGTGACCCCTCTCCGGCGGGGGGTGGAGGAGAGGAGCTCCAGAGGGTCCTGCCGACCCCCCGCTGGTCTGTGATTTTGTGTGATTTAGAATTGTCCTGCACTGTGTAGGACCAAGTCGCCCTGAGACCTCTCCTTCCTCCGCAGGTGTCGATGCAGTACAACCCTGGCTGGAACAACTCCTCTGTCAACCTGCTTCATGTGCGCGCAGTGGGGCCCGCTGACACCCTGCACTACATCTGGAGCAGCATCGGGGCCCCCGCGGTGCTGCTGGTGGCTACGGCGAGCCAGAGCAGCGCCCTGCGCATCAACTGGACGCAGCTGCTTTCCCCAGCTCCTGCGGGCGCCATCTGGATCGACCCTCCCAGCAGTGTTGTCTACTCCACTGCCGTTGTCTTCACAAAGGTACTGTGGAGGAAGGTGGCTCCGCTCCAGGAGAGCTGCCCCATGGTGGAGGGGTGTTATGGTTTAAGGAACCCACAACAATTTATTGTCGTTCAGACAATTATTCTATCACCCGATGAGGCCTCCCCACCCGGGAAGGGGAATTGGGGAAAAAACAAGGAAGCCCGAGGGCTGAACTATAAACAGATTTAATAGAAGGCTGAATAATTAACATTAATAATACTAAAGAACCAATACTGATCCCGATACCAATATATAGGAGGATTATCCTCGGCCCATTCTATCCGTAGAAGCTGTGCGCTCTCAGCAGGGACAGTAAATGTGGGACGCTGTGAGCGCTGCGGCTTCAGGAGGAAGGGAAGGGCTCAGGGCTCCGGCACCGGGGTGAGGGGTTCTCAGGATGGCAGCCACCAGAGGAGAGAAAAACTCCTCAGCAAACTTTCTAATTTCTATGGAATTTGCTGCTCAATTGTATGCACTAACCCTGTTGGGCAGTTTGGGTCAAGTGCCCGGGTCTCGCTCCTCCTCATCCCCACCCCCGGTGAGCTCGAAAACACTGAGACCTTGAAACCCGCATCCCATAGCTGGTTATAAAGTCAGTATTTTCAGAAATTCAGACACTCAAGTCTTCTAAAAGTGCGGTTCTCCCAAGTATTAGAAGAGAAATTAGTCCTGTGTCACTCAAACCAGGACCAGGGGACACGGGGGGTTGCTTGGGGCAGAGCAGGTCAGGTGGCAGCTTTTCCCAGCCACAGCGAAATGGCCCCTCGTGTGTCCTACCCTGCTTGTCTCTGGCTGGTGCTGTGATGGTGCCTTGAGATGTTTGGCCAAGGCAGCTCCTTTTTAGTCTCCACTGCTCCCTGGTGGCAGTGGCGGCCCGGTGGAGCACAGCACAAAGCGGTGGTGACTGCAGCACCTGCTAGAGGCTCCCGGCCTCCCTCCCCGTCCTTCTCCCCCTAGGTGTTTGAGTACAGCGAGGCCGAAACGCTGGAAGAGCTCTTCTACCCCACCTACGACCTGTCTGACTTTTCCTGGGACAGCATCAATCACACCCTGAACCACACGGCCCTGACGGCCGAGTTCACAGGCGTCCCGGTCAACGACCCCAGTGGCAGCTTCTCCAACGGCAGCGTGGCCTTTCGGGTAAGTCCACGGGGGCACAGAGCGGGTATATCAGTACCTACATGGGGATCTATAGGGAGAACACGGGGAATTTCATGTCCAAAGCACCTTCTGGAGAGGGAACGTTGCTCCTTGGTGTCCCAGCTGGTGATTGTGCTGTCCCTTGGATCCGTGTCCCCGGCAGGTGACAGCCTATGGGGGCAGTGGCCGTGACCGGCTCCTGCCCAGCCTCCTGCACACAGCAAACAGCTCAAAAGTGGAGTTTGTCCTGGCTGGGGTGGCTCCGCGGGGCAACGGCTCTCGATTTGCGCTGGAGGTGGCCACGGTGGAGGAGACGGGGGTGGCGCAGAAGCTGCGCTCGGCACGCTCCATCGACGACGAGTACACTCCCACCATCTTTGAGGTGAGTGCAGGGGGGAGCGCTGGGCTCGGGGACGTCCCCTGCTGCAGGATCTGGGGAGGGGGTATCCGGGGCAAGCAGCCTGGGCAACCTGTGGCTCCCCGCTATGGCTATGACCCTCTCCTGCCCTCGCTTCACCGCCCGTTGCTCTCCTTCCACCAGACGCTCTCCCTGGTAGCCGAGTCCCGAAATGGCAGCTCCACGTTCAGCTTCCTGCAGTGGAAGGCGACAGCCTACGGCTCGCAGACCCCCAGGCGCGAGGACGGCATCCAGTGCCGGTCCCATGGCCTGCAAGCAGCCAACTGGACCTTGCCCACATCCGGCATCGTCCGTGCCTACTTTGGGGAGGGCGTAGGCAACACCTACACCGTCAGCGCCATCAATATCTCTTTCGGGGGAGAGGATGGGAAGGTTTACCAGGAGAAGCGCTACCTCAGCTGGTGAGTGGGGTCCGTTGCGCGTGAAACGCTGCTCTCCCAGCCACTAATAACGTGCAGTTTGGGGAAGTGGTTAGAGGGTTTCTCTGTTTGAGAACTATCTCTTTTCGAAAGTCTGGGTTTGATCCTGTAGGAAGGAGTTTTGCAGTTTATTGACGCGTTCCCTCACCCCTCTCCCAGTTTGGGAGACCCTCTCCTGCCCTATGTGGGGTCTTGCCAAGATCTGACCCTATAGGGGTAGAAAGCCCCAGATATTCCACCCACGGGCCACAGCTGATCCCCGTCTCCCTGGCTGATTTGTCTCGTCCCCTCCTGCAGGTCAGCGCTGTTGGGCTTCGGGCAGCCCCCCAAGGACACCTTCTCCCCCCTCGTCATCTCCATCATGGCCGTGGCACTGGGCACCCCCATGGCGATGCTGCTGGTGGGCGGCTGCGTCGTCCTCTTTGCCCAGAGGAAACGCTACTCTGAGTACGAACCCATCAACTGAGGGGGACAGTCCCTGGAGAGACCTCCAGGATCCTTCTTGTCGCCAGGAAACGACCGCGACTGCTGCAGGGGCTGCGATGCCTGAGATCTCCTCTCGGTCCTCCCTTCTGTCCCTGCAGTCCAGGCTCGGAGGGGACCGGGGCAACGTTTGCAGCAGTTGCCCACCTCGCGTATCCCTCTGTCCTGCTCCCTCCTTCTGCCCAGGATTGCCCAGTTCCTGCATGTCATCACACTTCTTCCTCTTGTTTTTTCCCGGATCCATCCGGCCAAGGGAATTGACTGGGGGCAGTTGGTCAGGGTTGCCTTGAGCCACGGGAAGATCTTCCTTCTCCCAAGGGATAAAACCACTGTTGTCATTGTCTGCACAGCGGAGCAACAACTGGGACCGGCTGTGCCCTGTCCTGTGCCGCTTCCAGAGCGCTCCGGGGTTGCTTGGGTGGCTCCAACCCAGGAGCAGGGCTGGAGGACAGGGCTGGGGACCGGGACCGCTCCTGCCAGCGTGCAGGGTGCCTTGCTGCTTCTCACTGTGTGCTGGGGCCATCCCAGAACAGCCCCCCTCTACCCAGCTGGGGCTCACGGACTCCTCAGTCCCCAACAAGCGCTTTCTGCTGTGCCGGCCTTGGGGAGGGCTGCCGTTACGAGAGGGAAACTCGGTGCTGCTTTGCAGCAGCTGCTTGAGCTCAGGTCTGTCCTGTCAGCCCACAAAGGGCCGATCCAGCCTTGCTCTCGCTTAACCGCAGCGTTGGCTCCGCGGGGCTGGCTCAGAGGTGCTATCCAGGTGCTTGAAGCCACGGGCCGAGCGTGGGCTGTGGCTGCTCGACGTTCGCATCACTCGGGGCTGTGCTGGTTTTTCACGTTCTCCGTCACTGACTTGCCTTTGACCAAATAAAGTGGATTTCTACGAGCAGTTTCCTGTGGAAATGCTACACCACGGGCAAGCGCGAGGAGAGCAGAGCGCTGGAGCTCGGCAGGAGCCAAGGTATGAAAACGCCCCTGAGAGGAGGGACGGTCCCTGCCCCTGGGTTGACTCCTGCCCCACAGCAGCAGCGGGCGGTGCTCCGGGGTGGTTTTGCCTATGGGCCATGGCGTCAGCATGAGCCCAGGCCGTGGGCCATGTCCTGGCCGTGAATTGCATTGGAGAGATTCAGACTGTTCCCATTCTTCGACTGGGCTGGGCTGCAGTGGGTGAACTGCTGCCGTGATACAGCATTCGGGGATGGGAGGCGGGACAAGCCAAACGCTTGGCAGATGGAGGGATGGAGAGGAGACTTTATTTGGTAGAGTTTTAACTGGTTTGGGTTATGCGGAGAATGAGAGAACTGAGACAGGCTTGCACGGGGCTGGACCCCCAGGGGTCCCTACGTGTCTGCAAAGGACTCCGAGGTGGGACCCAGTGTCCTGAGGGGTGCAGGCTGGGTGCCCGTCCTGGGGGGGGATCGGCCGTCCCCAGCCACAGGCAGCGGCAAGCCTGGTGCCATCTCACCCATCCCGGCTTCTCCCCGCATCCCTCCTTGGGGCAGGGCTCCCTCCCTCCTACCCGGCCAACTGGTTTGTGAACCTCCACCGGGAGGAAGAGGAGGGACAGGCTGGGCGGGACTGGCCACAGGGCCATGCAGGGACCCAGGAGTAAGGATGCAGGGACCCAGGAGCAGGATGCAGGGACCCAGGAGTAAGGATGCAGGGCTGGGCTGCTCTTGCAGTGCTGCGAGATGGGCACTTTGGTGAATTGTCTTTTTTCCCTCTCTTGGAAACACCATTTTGGGGCTGGATGATGGCATCCCGGGGGCGAAGCTCCAAGTCCTGGCAGCAGCAATTCCTAGGGGTATTTAAGCCACCCCCCCACCCCCAGCCACAGAACCACTTGGTGAAGGGCTTTATTGGGCAAAGCCAGCTCCAGCGCGAGGTTGGCAACTCCCACCCCAACCCATCCCCAAGGAACAGGGCTCACTGGGTCTTGCTCCAGGCCCTATTCGCCTTCCTGCAGGAAACTCCCAGTGCAGAGGGTTTTACAGCTCAGCTCTATCAGCCCCGGCTGCCCAGCAAAACCTCGCCGGGTCTGGGCAGGGAGCAGGGTCCCAGTTAAATCTGCCTGCACCCCTCCACCTCCAGGGCTCACAAGGCAGGGCAGCGAGGAGCGCTCAAGCCCTCGGCACTGCGGGGTCCAGGCACCCCATCTCCCTCACCCCCAGTACCGGAGTTTGGCTCTGCCGTCCTTGGAGCGGTCGTCGGGCTTTGGTGCTGCCACAGCCAGGAGGTTTTCGGGCTCCAGGACGAACATGCTGTACAGGTTCCAGAGTAGCATGGCCAGGAGGGGCAGGAAGGTCATGCTGAAGCCGAAGGCGCGGAAGGAGCGTCCGATGGCGTACGACAGCCAGTAAATCAACCTGGAGAGGGCAGAGAGGTGCGGGCTCAGCGAGGGCGATGCCTTGGGGCGGGCACCCAGTTTCGCTCAGGGGTTCTGACCCCAGCGAGGGTTTGCCAGGCACGGCCGCTGCAGGATGAGGGATGGAGCAACCCTTCTCCTGTGCCAGCTCAGCTTTCCTGGCTTTCGTTGGCCGGGTGAGGCACTGTCAGAGCAGGAGTTTGTGCCAAGGTGTGGTGTTTGCCAGCACTGACAGAGCCCGTTTGCACCCTGGGCACTGCCCGCAGCCCAGGTAGCCACTTACCGGGAGATGGCAAAAAGCCCCGTGAGCAGGGGGATGAGCTTGAGGACCTCCTGTGGGAGGTAGGTGGCCAGCACAGCCATGTTGAAGAAGTAGAGGATGAAGAGATGGACGGACTGGGAGACATAGGTGCGGTGGATCTCCACCTCCCGCTGCAGCTCCCCGAAGGGCTCCAGTGCAGAGAAGCAGAGGCGGGAGATTCCGCTGACGATCATCCCTGAGGGGGCAGAGAGAGGGGCTGAGCAGGCGCTCGGTGAAACTGCATTGGGGCCCGAGGGCTGGGGGAGGACCAGAGAGAGATGCAATGGGGTGGGAAGAGGGGAGGAAAACTCCCTCTGCTGCTCCTGGAGAGAGCAACGGAGCCGCAAAGAGCTCAGCCCTGGCTCTGCTCGCCACCCCCCACAGTCCCCACTGTCCCAGGGCTGGTGCAGCCCACTGGTGGGGCGAAGGGCTTCGTACACCCAACCCCATGGCTCACCCAGAACGATGGGGAACGTGGCAAAGGCTGCGCAGCGGAGCGTGTAGACCAGGCGGGCGCTGATGGTGGGCAGCAGCGGGGCGTCAAAAGGCAGGAAGACGTAGGCCCCGTAGATGAGGCAGGGGCAGAGGAGCAGGGCCCCCACCACTGAGGCTACGGCCTTGAGGGTGGGGGCGCCGGAGTTT